TACAACTACTTGTAGATCTATATCACGGGGTGATGATGTGGATGATAAAGGTGAAAGGGACCATCATCAGCTTCATCATTATCGTTGTCGTTGGCGATCGCCTCTTTGAAAATTAACCCAAAGGGGGAAAATCGTGTAATTATGATAGCTAATATCATAATATCATAGTTTTAAATACAGTAGACAGAGTTCGTTTCTGGGGGTGGCAGACGGGCGCGATGTTTCGCATAGTTAGGTTTTTTCAAAAGGACGTAATATGGATTGAAAACTACCAACACAAACGAATAAAAGAACGGAGTTTCGAACCAGGGCTATCTGCTTCATGGCCCGTTGGGCAATTATTTTCGATAATTTTAATTGGCCCATATCCTTTTATGTCCATTTAAAAACACACTTACATGTCTATGTTTTCTAGGACACTCAAGCTTTGGAGTCCCCAAAATTTGGCGGCCATTTTCTCGCTGATTTTATTTTACTTCTGACACAGGGCAACACCCACCCTACATCAATCACAAATATCTCGACTTTTACTCTAGATAGGTGGGTATTATTTCATCAAAAGCAAGACAAAATTAAACTGGCAGTAAAATTATACCAACAACTCCATTTACTCAAAACCCGACGAACGCCTGATTCCAACTCTTCGTGACAAAAATAACGACGTTCTGTGCAGAGCTGAAAACTGTCACTATGATCAAGGAGTAGTAGATCTATATAGATCTAGCACAATTCACAATGAAACGGTGACCAGTCATTTCTGTTCAAAAGAGGGAAATAGTAATATAGTGTCGAAGAACAGATATTCACTAGAACGTTTAGTAACAGCTTTTGAGTCACAGCACATCGCTTTCATTTTGTTACGCTATTTCCCTCGTGATCACCATTGCTTAGTTCAAAACATTTTGATTTTTTTTTTTTTTTTTTATGTACGTAGCCATAGTTTAGATCATCTCAGAGACAGGCTTCCGATCCTGACAAGCAGGTTAAACCCGGCCTCGGGAAGATACAATACCCCAGCTGTAAGACCGAGATACCGTACTCGATAAAACGTTTCTCCCTATTCGGAAATCGAACTCAGGTCGCCTTCAAGCAACAACTGAGCGCCTGGCCGTTACACACATTATGCTGGTGTTGATTTTCTGTCGTTCCTGAACTACCGTGCATAGGATCAAACGGACTGAACGAGATATACATACATGAAAAATCGACTCTTACACAAAGACAGCTGATGGGAATACAGACTAATGAAAGTAGGTACTGGTGAGTTAAATAGATTATCGGGTTGGATATAACATAAACAAAGAGGAAATTTAAGTAAACAGACAGACAGACAGACAGACAGACAGACAGACAGACAGACAGACAGACAGACGACGGGCGGACAAACGGACGGACGGACAGACGGCAGACAGACTGGCGAACAGATGGACAGACAGTTAGACAGGCAAATAGATAGACAGACAGACAGACAG